GTTCTTTAAATTCTTCAAGAGCTCAAAGGCAGCATCGCAGGAGCCGGCCTCAGAGTAGAGTTAGGAAAACCTTTAATCTTCCCTCGGCCACCACTGAGGCAGCCCTGGACCTTGGACCTCTGTCAGGAACCTTCAGCCTCCGCTAGGATCTGCCCAGACTCTCAGGACGCCCAGGGCACCTCAAGGTTGGCCTCCCTCAGCAGCATCCCTAGCCCATGTCCTCTGCCAGGAGCCTGGTCGTGCTGCAACTCGGGCCGAAGACAAGCCCCTCTGGCCTGGAGCCCTGGCCCGGGACGCGGTCACTCTGGATCCTATTCTTTCACCCTGGGGCTGCTACTGGTGCCAGAACACACAGCCTCTGGCCCAGCACTGAGCCGGATAAAGCCTCAGGGGAAGAGAGAAGACAGCTGCAGGTAGAAAGGGGATCCATGCCAAGCAAAATAAGATCAGGACCGGTGAGGAAAGTCAGGTGGTGCCCTGAACACCTGCACCTGCTGTTCTCCCCACCCAGGAGGCCTTTCCTCCTCCCGTGCCAGACACACTCCTAGGCAAGCAGCCAGAGTGTCGCTTTAAGCTAAAACTCTCCCTGTGAAGACTTCCCTGACCCTCCTGGAAGAGTCAATTGGTCCATCCCCTGACAACCCTCACCCTTAAATCTCAGCTCTGATCAGAGCATCCTGGAGCTCCGTGGTTTACAGGGTCGCATTCCACACAGGGCTCCTGACAGCTGGGACAGCGCCCTCTGACCTCATACTCCCACCACCCGGTACAGTGTGCAGACTGAGCACGGGCCCACCACAGGCGAGCGGGAGCTGTCTGAGACAGGCACAGACCAGGCAGGGGGGTCAGAGGTGCAGAAGGAGAAGGAAACAGCTTTTTTGCGGCTGGGCAGAAGGAAGGATGAGGTTCCCAGATGTAGAAGAGGGGAAGTGCAATCACTCCTTCCTGCAACAAAACCAAACTCTAATTCTAAGGCTCCAGGAAAGAACGTCTCTAGTGCGCTAATCCACAAAGCCTTTTCTCTACTGGTTTCTTTTCCACTGCTTAGAGAGAGAAATCCTTCAGCTCAGCTTCTGGAGACTCATAAAATCTTCAAAACAGAAGCTATTTCATCAACGACCAACAGACCTCCTGAGAGGATAGGTTATGAAAGATCCTACACATAAGACACACCCTGGGCTGGAACTTCTAGCAGCAGTCATGCCGCTAAGTTCAAACGCACTGCTGTCCAGTGGAACTCTCCATGCGTGGGCACCAGCCACTTGTGACTACTGAACACTAGAAATGTTGGTACAGAGCAAACAAGGAAGGGAATTTTTAACTTAATTTTAATTAAATGTCAACAGCCATATGTAGATAGCTGTTACTGACCGGACAGTGCAGTGCTAACCTCCAACTGCTCAGAGAATGAGCCCATGGTCAAAGCCACAGAGGAATGGAGCCTGTGGTCACCTTGGAGAGCAGCCCAGAAGGTAATCTGGCATTGCTGGAGACTCAGATGCTCTGGCTTTGGGTGTGGAACAGGTGCAGCCACAGAGGGTCATTCCTGTCTCGCAGGTTTCCCTGGGTCCTGCCACTCAGTCATTTGACAACTATTTGGTGAGCTCTTATTCTGTGCCACACCCCAGGCACTGGGGCGCTGGGGTGCTGGGGATTCAGGGGTAATACAGAGTCCTAGCCTCAGAGCCTGCATATGGAAGGGAGGGAAAAGCTTAAATAGCAGGAGGGAAGACTGAGGGAGGAGGCTTGGGTCGGATTATAGTTAACCGTGACAGCCATGGGTGACAGAGATGACTATCCGTCCTCCAAAAGTGTCACCGTTTCTCTTCCAGATTGTGAAGTTTGTTGCTAGGAATTGACTGCCCAACTGAACTGTATTTGCCTCCTTCGTTTCATCCAGTCTATCCACAGGACTAACTATTCCTCAACAATGAGATATGAGTGGGTGTGATGGCGTCACTTCTGGGCCAAGGCTTTTAAGAAGCAGATGGGACTTTATCATTCTCTCCTTCTTTCGGTGGCTAGAAACAGAAGACTCTGAAGCCCTAAGGGACATCAGAAAGATGACAAGAAAGAAGGAGCCTGGCTTCCTGAGTCACTCCATGGAGGAAAGTCCTCCACCCCTATTCCCACTCTCTGGATTATTATTTGAGTGAGAAAAAAAAAAAAAAACTTTCATTGTGCTAAGCCATTGATATTTGGGATTTATTTGTTATAGCAGCCAGCCGTTGTTACCCTAACTAATATATACCACACAAAGGAGGACCGGTCTTTCTCATGTAGATACATCGTATCAGCAGAGAGGCATATGCTATGTGTACTTTGAAAGTGGTGCTGTGTCAAAGACTAAATGGGAATGCAGGAATACCAGAGGAAAGCATGGCAGGGATCCAGTTAAAGAATGGAGAGGAAGACCAAAAGGAGGACATAGGGTCTTGTAGACTGGATGTGAACAGAGGGGCAGAGTCAATACTGAGACTTCAGACTGGAGCTGGATAGCTGGTGACTGCTCATAGCCAACACGGGCACAGACAAGGAGCAGCAGGCTGGGGGGGGGGCGGTTCATCTCAGCCTGTTAGCGTCCACTCACCTGGGTGAGAGCCGTGACTCTGTTGCCCATGTCTGGGAGAATGGGGGGCTCATCGCCCACTTGAAAGTCAAAGTAGACGGTCTTGTGAGAGAAGGTGGAAAACTCATTACTGAAGCAAAACTGATAAACTCCCTTGACCTCAGCCTGGTGTGTGAAGCTGTCATACTGCTTCTTGGTTTCCCTGTAGATGGTGTTCCCCAGGGGGTCCTCCACATAGCAGTCAACGTCGTAGTGGCCTCCAGTGATGACCTGACAACCACAAAAGACACCCACAGTCTGCTGTTACCAGAGAGGTAAACACCACTTACCAAAGGCCGACCAGGCAGTGATTACATGTCACAAACATTTTTTTCATTTAATCTTCACAGTCTTCTAAAGGCTGACACTCCCCAATTTACAGAGGATGACACTGAGGCTGAGAGAGATGAAGTTAACTGGCCATGGTCATGCTGCTTGAAAGTGACAGAGCTAAGACTCGAATCCACGTCTGCCTGATTCCAAAAGTTTTGCTCTGCAAGAGTGCCAAGAGACTAATCCTCCCCATTTTACAGAAGAGGTAACTGAGGCTCCGAGGTTAAGTAAACTGCTGAACGTGTCTGGTAAACGTTAATATTATTGCTGATGGAATGCAAGGGGAAAGCAAACATAGACTGAAGCCTTCACAGAATCAGTGATTACCAGAGGTGGGAGAGCCCTCGGGAATCATTAGTTCAAACTCTAAACACAGGAAAGATAAGACCTGCAAAGGGCAAGGTGGTCAATGACTATAACTAAGGTCCATCAAAGAACACAGTCAATGGCCTCCATCTGCTTCCAAATGTTAAAATTTCCTTTTGTTCAGATGGAAGAATTTGCTTTGTGATTAGTGAGCTTCCTAATGCTGGAGGTGTGTAAACTTATGCTGAACCTGCTCTAACAGGGGTTCCTGACCTGGCAGGGACCAGATGACCTCTCAGCCCCCTCCATCCTCACAACGATCATGTTTTGGTGACTGTATCTAGGTTACCCCTGTTAACCCAGCTGCAATTCCACACTGTCCACGGACATGTGAAAGTGGCCACATCAGTGACTCGGAGGTCATCACACATAGTGCTGTCCCAAGCACACGCCTCTTTTAGTGGCTTTGGTCAGAGAGGGCCCACCATATGGCCTGCCCCTACTCCTGCTTCCCGTGCCAACTCATCTCTGTAATGCCTGTCAGTATGCGTCCACAAGCAGACGCGGGTCTGGGTATAATTCCCACTCAGCTCCCTACTCTTAGATCTGCTCACTAAACCTTAGGGGCAGATCTCTCACTCAAGACCTGCTCCCCTGAACTGTGAGCCATGAAATCTCTCAAAGGAGCCAGGACTGCAGGAGCTAGGAGCTTTTCTGAGCCATATGGCAGCAGCCACAACACCACTCCTTAGAAACACTGCCAGGGCTCAAAGCCTGCGCTGACACCTCCTTTCCAAAGCGCCATTTCTCATCACTTGCCGCGCTCACCCCAACTTGACTTCAAACACTGGAGAGAGGGAAAAATAATGCCAAGGACCCATTTCCTCTCACTGCCATTTTTCAGTACAGGCGGGGACAAACTGGTCCAAAAAACTTGGGACAGAGAGCCTGTGTCCAGCTAATCAGACATGGCATTCCTTGGAGTCAAGGGGCCTGCAGGTCATTGAGGACAACTCCCCAGGATGCAGGACCCGCCCCCGGGCATCCGCATCCAGGTAGCGCACCTGCGGCGCTACCTCCCGCCCTGGTTAGTCGGGCCTGTCTCGAGTGGGCTCTGACTTCCTCGCGGGTAAGTCAGCTGGTCTGTGGTCATTCCCGCCCCATTCAGCCTCTTTGGCTAATTCCAGCCACTCCAGCCTGGGGCGCACCAGTGACCAATGGAGACCTGGAAGGGGGAGAGGAGGCGCTGCCGGGCGCCAGGGCCTCACCTGGTAATCCAGGGAGAACTTCACGCCCTGCTCCACGTCCTCGTGGAAGCACTGCTTGGCGTTGTCAGGTAGCTCGAAGGTGAGCTCCGCGCCCCGCGGCCGCTCCGCCTGCAGCAGCAGCAGCAGCAGCAGAAGGGGCAGCGCGCAGGCGGAGCGCGAGGCCACGCTGCCCATGATGCTCCCGGTCCAGTCCCGTGGGCCGCGGCTCGGGCGTGCGCTCCTCGCGGATGGGACGGTGGCTGGGGGACCAGGGATAAGGTACAGGGACAGGCGTGGCGCTTGCGGGGCGCTGCGCTTCCGGGAGGGCGGGCGGCTCAGCGCGCAGTCGCGCGCTCGGGGGTGGTCCCGGGACCGAGGCCAGAGAGCGCCGCGGCCTCCCCCCGCCCCTTCTGCCCGCTGCGCCTGCGCGCTGGCTGGGCTGGCGAAGGGGACACGCCCCTTCCCCCGCCCCGCGCTGCTGTGCTGGGGCGTCTCGGCGAAGGTGAGGCGGGACGCCCATCCCCAGCGCGCACATCCCCGGAAGGGCCCTCTGCCAACATCCCCGACAGACGTTTTCTGCATCTTCTGGGACCCGCAGGCTTGAGGATTACCCGGAATTGGCCCAGGTCCACGCAGTCCATCCTCTCTGGCTGCAGCAGCACGAAGCCCATGGGGTTTTACAAGGTACAGGCTCTGCTTCTGACTGGCTCTATAACTTGTCTCACGCTTCTCTGGAGAATCTGTCTCCTGGTCTAGAACTGGGTGTGCCCAAACCTACTATCCACAATAGCAAGGAAGGCTAGAGGAAAGATATGCAAACTCTGGGGACCCAATTAACACCCCCTTTCTCATTCCCATCCCCTTCCCAAGGTGAAAAAGTATGCCACGGGGCAAGGGGGTTGATTGGTGAGAGTAAGTAAAACCCCACAATTACATCTGTTCTGGGGAAAACCGGCAGGCGTGCTCACACACAAAGCTTCCTGAAGCTTCCTGAATATACAAATACAGGTCTCTCACTCAGGGATTTCAGGTATCTCTTGGTTGTCTGTATAAGTTGAAGGTTCTTCTGGGACAAAACAATCTTTTTTTTTTCCCTTTGACTTCTCAAAAGCGCTGAAAGCAGATACATTAATTTACTGTCTTATCTATTACCATTGACCTAAGAAGGTATTTTGTATAATCATTACTATAGCGTTTTATATTCACTATGATCAGGTAAAGACAAACAAAAGAACGATTGTAGTCTCGCTACTCAGTAAAGAATTTTTTTCAGAACATCATTAGGTGAGGTGTATCTTGATTTTAGCAAAGAATTTTACTGCCTATATAGGTCACCACGTGGATAAGACCGAAGTGTCCTGTCACTTAAAAAGCTTTTGCACAGCAAAGGAAATCATAAACATGATGAAAAGACAACCCTCAGAATGGGAGAAAATATTTGCAAATGAAGCATCTGACAAAGGATTAATCTCCAAAATATACAAGAAAAAACCCAATCCAAAAATGGGCAGAAGACCTAAATAGACATTTCTCCAAAGAAGATATACAGATTGCCAACAAACACATGAAAGAATGCTCAACATCACTAATCATTAGAGAAATGCAAATCAAAACTACAGTGAGATATCACCTCACACCAGTCAGAATGGCCATCATCAAAAACTCTACAAACAGTAAATGCTGGAGAGGGTGTGGAGAAAAGGGAACCCTCTTGCACTGTTGATGGGAATGTAAATTGATACAGCCACTATGGAGAACAGTATGAAGTTTCCTTAAAAAACTAAAAATAGAACTACCATATGACCCAGCAATCCCACTGCTGGGCATATACCCAGAGAAAACCATAATTCAAAAAGAGTCATGTACCAAATTGTTCATTGCAGCTCTATTCACAATAGCCAGGACATGGAAGCAACCTAAGTGTACATCGACAGATGAATGGATAAAGAAGATGTGGCACATATATACAATGAAATATTACTCAGCCATAAAAAGAAACAAAACGGAGTTATTTGTAGTGAGGTGGATGGACCTAGAGTCTGTCATACAGAGTGAAGTAAGCCAGAAAGAGAAAAACAAATACCGTATGCTAACACATATATATGGAATCTAAAAAAAAAAAAAAAAAAAAAACTGGTTCTGAAGTACCTAGGGGCAGCACAGGAATAAAGACACAGATGTAGAGAATGGACTTGAGGACACGGGGAGGGGGAAGGGTAAGCTGGGACAAAATGAGAGAGTGGCATGGACATATATATACTACCAAATGTAAAATAGATGGCTAGTGGGAAGCAGCCTCATGGCTCAGGGAGATCAGCTCGGTGCTTGTGTCCACCTAGAGGTGTGGGATAGGGAGGGTGGGAGGGAGATGCAAGAGGGGAGAGATATTGGGATATATGTATATGTATAGCTGATTCACTTTGCTATAAAGCAGAATCTAACACACCATTGTAAAGCAATTATACTCCAATAAAAATGTTAAAAAAAAGTTCTGATCTCTATGTCTGTGAGTCTGGTTCTGTTTTATAGACAGGTTCATTTGTTCCATATTATAGATTCCACATCTAAGTGATATCATATGATATTTGTCTTTCTCTTTCTGACTTTCTTCACTTAGTATGCTAATCTCTAGTTACATCCATGTTGCTGCAAATGGCATTATTTCATTCTTTTTATGGCTGAGTACTATTCCATTGTATATACATACCACATATTCTTTATCCCTTCATCTGTTGAGGGACATTTAGGTTGTTTTCATATTTTGTTTGTTGTGAATAGTGCTGCTGTGAATGTAGGGATGCATGTATCGTTTTGAATTATAGTTTTGTCTGGGTATATACCCAGGAGTGGCATTGCTGGATCATATGGTAATTCTATTTTTAGTTTTCTGAGGAACCTCCATACTGTTTTCCGTAGTGGCTGTACCAACTTACATTCCCACCAGCAGTGTAGGAGGGTTACCTTTTATCCACACCTTCTCCAGAATTTGTTATTTGTAGACTTTTTAATGGTGGCCATTCTGACCGGTGTGAGGTGGCACCTCATTGTAGGAATACTAAACACTTTTAAGTTTTATAAATGAAGGATAAAAAAGATGAAGATTTGAATTTTTAGAGTAACAATTCATGTTTCTGCATTGGGAGACTTAATCTTTTAAAATGTTAATTTGCACTGAAATAACTAAATGTCAAAGAATCCCAGTCATAATCTCAGAACATTTTTAACATTTAATAAAATGAGTTTACGAAATAATTTGTCCAATGAGAATTGAGAATGAATGTGACTCACCATTTGTGAAAGTGAGTTAAAACCCTACAGTAATTAAAATAGATGCTCTGATATGGAACAGAAAGACAAATACACCAATGGAATGTAATACAATGGAACAGAATGGGGTGGAATGAAGTGGGATGGGATGAAATGAGGGAGTTTAGAAACAGACTCAAGAATTTTAAAAGCAGGAATTTAGCATGTTACAAGGATATTTTAAATCAGTGAATGATATCAAGATACTTTTAGCTTCAAGTAAATTTTTAAAACTCCAACTAGATTAAATGATATATAACCTATATTAAATAGACTCTAGAATTCTAAAATATACTACTCATATCATATATATCAAAAAATATACCGTTGAATATAGCAGAAAGTTCAGAGGTGAATTCAGCTTCAGGCACTGTGGTAAGCGCTCCAGTCCATTTCCCTGCTTTTCTCTTGGCTACTCCCTCCTCTGCATGTTGGCTTTATTCTTAGGCTCTATTATTTTATTGTCACAAAAAGGTTGTCAAACCAAACAAACAAGCTTGAGCAACATGTTTATTTAGTCATGTCTATCAGAAGGAAGAGAAATATTTCCTTCACTCATGACCTGTATGTCCTTTCCTTCAGTACAATTGGGCCAACTTAGGTCATGTGCCCATATCTGGATCTAAGCCACTGACAAGGGGAAAGTCATGTACTGATTGGCTTAGGCTGGATCCTTTAGCCAATCACTGATAAGGAGAATGGGGATTGTCATAATTAACTCAGACCAATCAGGGCTTCCCTTGGAGCTCGGGATGAAGTCAAAAGGGCTGCAAGGATATAGGGTGACTGACTACATACACAAAATCAGGATCTAATGGGAAGGAGAAGGGAGGATCAAACTGGGTAGGCAATAATATCCAACTGAAGCAAAGAAAGGATTAAGTACTGATTAAATTGTAATGGGATAATTTAAAAATGTATTTAGACCCTTACCTCTCACCCCATGAGAAATCATTTTTGCCCTAGGTCAGGAGTGTCTCTGATTCTGGGTCCATCATCCCAGAGGAGGCAGAGGACTCCAGAAGGGACAGCCAGGTGGGCTTCTTTCATCAGGCTGCTATTTGGACTGGTTCACACTGGCAAGACCTTGTCCATGAAAAATCTAATCAATAGTCAATCTAAATGGGAAATTTTATTCGAGCCAATCTGAGTATTATAACCCAGGAGACAGTCTCTCCAAGAGTTCTGAGAACTGTTCCAAAGAGGTAAAGGAGGAAGCTAGCCAAAATGTGATTTTGGCAAAGGGGGTACCTGCAGTCAGGCACACATCTTTCTCAGTGGAAGGTTGCTGCGAGTCACGGTAGCAGACATCTTGGTTAATGGTTTTAGTGTTTTTCTAATTATGGGAAGATCCAAGAATCCAGGTTCATAAAAAACTTCTGCTAAAGATACTATCTGAGGGCCGGTTCTGCCCATTTTCCCAGAGCACAGAGTGCCTCATCCTGATCTTCGCCCTGAATTCCTTTCAGGGTGTGTCGTAGGTCAGCAACTGCACTGGTGAATGACTTGATTCTTGCAGAACTAGAGATGGTGGGCAACAGTCTTTATTTGACAGTCCCTTCCCTTTTACTCTTTTTTTTTTTTTTTTTTTTGCGGTACGCGGGCCTCTTACTCTTGTGGCCTCTCCCGTTGCGGAGCACAGGCTCCGGACGCGCAGGCTCAGCGGCCATGGCTCACGGGCCCAGCCGCTCCGCAGCACGTGGGATCTTCCCGGACCGGGGCACGAACCCATGTCCCCTGCATCGGCAGGCGGACTCTCAACCACTGCGCCACCAGGGAAGCCCCCTTTTACTCTTAATTTCAACCAACGTTTGGGGAGCATTTTGTGACCAATTTGTCCCATGGCACTGGGAATGCTCATTCCCAGGTCAAGTGAGGATTTTGTTGATAGGTCACTTTACATGCTATTACTGGACTAGGCTCTGTTAACAGTAGCCAAAAGCCTCTGGATCACCTGTCTTACTAGTCTGTTATGGTCCAGGAGATGGTTCCCTCTTATTGCTTCTTCCCATATCTAGAGTTACACTATTACAGTCGTTGATCTTATAGGACTATAAATTTAATCAATCATTGCAAACTGCCTAATAATCATTAATTTTATCTGTGGCTCCGTCACACATTTGGTAATGCAATAAACAATAATCTTGTGAAACAGGCAGAATACAAGTAATATAACTAGCGACATTCGTAGGTCATAAGGATTTAAGCTCAGAGCTTCCATTAGGTGAGGCCCAGTATCTCCCAAGGTTCCTGCCATTCGGGAGGTCTGGTTAACATGTAATGCAGTTGCACAGTGCACACCGGAGTGGGGGGTGGAGAAGGAGGTCAAAGGACAGAGAAAAAGGTTTGATGTTTCAATTTTTCTTGTCTTGCCTTAA